TATTTTAATTATACTCAATTATTTTTAATAATAATTATTTAAAGTTAATTAAGTTAATTTTAATTAATTATTTTAATTATGATTAATTATTAATCATAATTAATTAAAATTAATTAAAATTAATTATTTTAATTTTAATTAGTTATTATTAATTAAAATTAAGCATAATTAATTATTGTAATTAAAATTAATTATTATAATTATGATTAATTATTTTAAAAGAGTAATTAGTTATAATTAATTAAAATTAATTTAAAATAATAATAAAAAAAAAAGAAGAGAGAAGAAGCATGCTTGCTCTCCCACGAGCTTCTACCGCCGATCCGCCAGTCGCCAAAGGTATAATTTCTGGAACCTAGGATTTCTTTCTTACCTTGTCCTTCGTGTCGAGTCGGCGGTCTGCCTATACACGCTTTTCTTAGCGTGGTGGGAGGGGCAACCGGTGCGACACCTACGACAAGGTAGGCGAGCGGCCTTTGGTTCCACATCTTGACCTCGACGTGTGCGACGAGCCGGCTAACCACCTATACACGCTTTACTTAGCATGGTAGGAGGGAACCCGGTGCGATGCGTACGACGAAGTTGGGATACCCATAAGTACCCGCTTGCGGGGAAACAATTGCTTTTTCTCTTGCAACAGGTACCGGTAGAAGACCCATACACGCTTTTCTTAGCGTGGTGGGAACAAAGACTTTACACGGCCGCGGTGTCCTCGAAAGAGGGCACCTACCATACACGCTTTTCTTAGCGTGGTGGGAAAGGCCCAATTTTCCATAGTTTTCCCCTAAACGGGGGAGACGCCGGTAGGCTGCCGAAATTTCGGGTTAATATAACTCTACTCGGGACCTGTTTTGAACTCAAAAGAACAAGCATTGGGACTCAAATGAAAATGAACTTAGGACTTGTGGACTATGGACTTGAACTTGAACAGAACCCAAATGACTAATAAAAGGTCGAATCTAAGTGAAATAAAATTAAATTGGAACCAAAATTCAAGCCAAATCAAGTATTCAATTGAAATCAAAAGATCTCCAGAGGACTTTGAACAGAATATGAACATGCAATTGAACTTAAAGGACTGCAGGGGATTTGAACCAGACTAGTACATCAAACAAAGACTTTGATTCGGATTGGATTTAAGCTTGAACAAGCAATTACATTTAAGCAAAATAAAGTAATAAACGGACTTATACAAGTTCTAAACTTGAATCAAATGATGAAAATTTTGATGCCGAAGCCAGTCAACTTGAAAGTGAATTTGTAAGCTCAAGCTGGGTTCAAACTCGACATGGGCAATAAAGAACTTGAACCTTCAAGAATAAAAAGGGACTCAGTCTTGCACTTGATCCGGATAAGGAACCTGAACGCGCACTTGACCTCGTACTATACAACAATAAGTGGGAGTTGTAGACTCGATAAACTCGAGTCTAAATGAAACTTAACTCGAACTCAAACATATACAAAGGGAAAAGTTTGAATCATGTGCGAGGGGATTCAAACTACAATAACATCTGTATGGCCAATAGTGACTCAAAGTACGCTACAAGACCTCGATGCACGAACTCCTACAACAATCCCTACAAATGCCTGTTGATTGAGATGGCAATATTGAAGACCAGCAATCAAAGATCCACCCCCCACAAGCAAGTGCAATCGTCAACCACCTGAGATTGGTGAAAGGTGGAGATGACGAAAGTTGACAATGCCTCCCTACGAATACTCCTAAGAGCTCGTAGTGGATATAATGGGTCCCTACAAATGAGCACAAATCACTTGTGGATAACAACAGTGGGTATGTCGTAGGTACAACGAACCACTGTGGACACAAGTACATATATCACATACGACAGTGATGGTCAAAACCTACAAGTACACCAGTTACAAAGGCAACCCGATGTACGAAAAAGGACACCCCCTTGCAGAAGGGAGGAAATGTTTGAATAAATTAGAACCAAACTTCCTGGTGTTCCAAAGTCTCTTCTTAGTGCTATACCCGAGAAGAAAATAGTCTGGTGCCCACAAACACCGGGAATGACAAATCCATTACACTGATCATCTTAAAAAAAAAAGTTCTCTACAAAACAACAAACTTCAGAATTTAGGAAATCCATCCCCGGTGAATGAGAAAGGGGGAGTCAACACCAAGACGCCACGCCACCGGATCTGCAACACTTATACAAGCAGACAGAAGGCGTCCATAATCTACAATGCCACGCCACCGGATCTGCAACACTTATACAAGCAGAAAGTAGGCGTCCACAATCTACAATGCAACTCCACCGGATCTGCAACATCTATGAAAGCAGACAGAAGGCATCCATAATCTACAAATGCTACGCCACCGGACCCGCAATATCCATGCAAGCGGGCAGAAGACGTTTACAAAATGTTTTAAAGTACCCCTGCACCTGCACTATAGTTTGTATACACATAGGTACACAATGGGGTATGTCTAAATCAATATAAAAATCACCCGCATGGGCCCCGACGAGTGTGTTATTGGTATACACGTGACGCATAGGGATGCTGCGCAGGTTGATAAGTGAATTTTAGTTCGAACCCGATCATTCTATACGGATCAATAGAAGTCGACAGGGTTCGAACCTTTAAACGAATATACAGCTGTGGCGACCAGTGTATTTGTTTCAATACATTCGTATTAGGCATTCCAGGCCTACAATCAAAAGAATTCACTAAACAAAAGGCATGAAGCCTACGAAACCCGATCCTCCTAAATAGAGAAATAGGAGTAGACAGGGTTCGAGATATCAAATAAATATGCGATCACGAAAGTTGACAAGAATATTTATCTTATATATTCATATTCGGCTTTCAAGGTCCTTTCAACAAAGAAAATTCATGAACAAAGGCATAAAGCCCATGAGAAACCCGATCCCCTATCATTAAGTTGATAGGGTCGACAAGGTTCAATCAAATGAAAATGACCCCAAACACCCCGATGATGGCCGTGTTGATTTCTTATCTCAACTGGAGGGGTCCATAATATATTTGCCCTCAAACCTATACAAAATTCAAATATTTTTCAAGTGACCTCAAGGTCACCCCGATGATGGCCATGTTGAAAGCTAATCTCAACCGGAGGGGTTCACAAATACTTTTAAATGTCTCCCAAAAGTCCATTCAAAATCCAAGCTCTACCCAAAAACCCAAAACTCTACAAATCCCAAATTACAAGATATTAAAATTGAAATTTACCCATCAACTCTTAAACCAAAATCCATCCACCCTCCGCAATCGTTTGCCGGGGTGGACAAATCAAAATAAACTCTTACGTATCTAATTGATGACTAGCCTTAATCGAAAGTTCTCTCTCGTTAGTGGGAGGGGTAATTAACTATAGGGGCTTGCGCCTATAGGAAACCAGAACTCAGATCATAAAGTCCTCACAAAATGAGGGCAAAATCTCTGGGTAGTGTCTTATCTACAAACCCATCTGCCTTCCAAAATTTACCCTGGAATTTATTTAGTTAAAACTCCCTCGCTCAAATAAAAAGAACAGCGGGCGGAGGCCGGGGCCGAATTTTCGGAGCCCGCAAACAGCAGCGAAGGCTTCAAAAGTTTGAAATTATCAATGCAACATTCTCCACACTCAACTCGTTTGAATATTCAAACAGCAGAAGTGATGATCTACGAATATGATATTGTGTGAAAATGTCCTAACATTGAAATTTGAGAAACTGACTGAACTATCGTGGCCGGAACGTTAAAATTACTAGAAAATGACAACCATAATGCCTAGGTTCCTGCACGAGAAAAATAGTGAAAAATCTATCTACGCATGCGAAATGAGAACACAGCTTGATGCACCCGAGCAAATTCAATGACCGAATCATTACGCATTTAAAACATACAGCGAATAGATGCTATATTGTTCTCATTTTTTGACTCTATCTCGCTAGTGGCATCTTTTTCTATCACATCTTTCCATAAAATTCGAACAGATGTCTTGTCCGGAGCGAGCTACTTTGCATCTATTCCAATATTTCTCAAGTTCTTCTGTATATGTGAGTAGGCTGTATATTAATTGAATATGTAGCAAGTATTGGATTCATCAATTATGCATTTTTGAAGTGTTGAGATATGAAAAATATTATGTAATCCCCATATATGTGTTGCTAACGTCAATCTTTGAGCCACATTTTCAATTTGTTCAATAAATTTCATGTGGTCCTAAAATATGGTGGACATAACTTTACTATCTCTCCAAAATGTGGAACACATTACATTGCACTAACTTTGATAAATACAAACTCATCAGGTTTACCCGTTCAAAATCTTGAAGAATGATATAGAGAGTGTCAATCGGTTGGACTTGCCTGCTTAACTCGAAGACGTACTTAATGGTGAATGTGTATAATCAAGAGATCAATCGACTTGATGAGGTGGGGACCAATTGAGGAGGCATGGAAGTTAATAAGTAGACTCCTGAAAGGATATACGATGCTGTCGAGATAATCCCGAGTCTAGATCAATGTTATCGTGAGGATTCTAGGACAATAAGAGAACTTAGAAGGGGTCTTGGGTAAATTTTTTAGAGCTTCATGCTGAGTGAAGATAACTCAAGAATCCAAGAGCTAGAGATTCTATGAGGGCTTCGGAAATGTACTTGAGAGACGGACTGATTTTGGACCCTATAAGATCTTTGATCATGTAGTAGTGATGAAAGTCTGACAAAACTAGTCCGTGATAATGGCACCATTAGTTGGTGCCATGCCTTGTAATTTTTTATTTAGAGTCTTATTTTATTTATAAATGTTCAATAGATTGTTTATCATACTACATAAATGTAGCCCTTGTTATAATCACCTACCTTATCTTTATAAAGGGAAGTCGGGTAAGGGTTGTAGGTTAACTAGATTGGAAAGCCTAGAGAGTCTTTTTGTTTAGGGAAGAGTGATTGTTGTGCTTTGGGTTGGAGGGATTTGAGAGAGAATGTGGAGTCTAAGAGCCAGGGAAGGAGGGGGTTTATGTTGACTAGTTTTTGTACATTAATAAAATGCATATTTTGTTTCTTGCTTCATACAAAATACAATTTAAACCCTTCCATACTCTACATGGCTACCTTATGCAGCGACTCATGAATTATGCAAATTTAAGCTTTGATATCAAATTTAGGTGTGAGAATGATCCAATTACGGGTTGTACGTATATATGTATATAATAAATTTTAAAAAAAATATTCATACTATTTATATTTTGAGATTTTTTTTGGTTTTAAAAGATTATTTTTCTAATCTTATACTATTTATATTTTGAGATTGAGTTGAGTTGGCTTGACTTTATCCAAGCCCAACTTCAAATCATCTCAAAGATCGAGCCAATATTTTGGCTTATAACACTGTTTGTTTGGCTTGATTCGAGATCGATTTGAGTAAAAAATGGTTTCAATCTTTGAGTGATCTTCAATATTCAAGCTAGAATCTAGAATTAATATGATTTATGTACTCTTTTCTCTATTGCAGTTCTACAATAAAATATACAAAATCATACAACATATGCACAAAATATCACATGTCAAAACTTTAAAGTTTTAACAATTATTTGGCACTCATGATGAAATCAAAATATGATGTTATTATTAAACTTCAAATAATAATTTATTGCTTTTTGATTACAAACAACACAATGAAATTTGAAACTATGAAAATCATGTAACTAGTTGAAAGCCATGCACTCTTAGAAATTTGATCGTATCAAATTTGAATGAAATCAAATCATACATACAAACCAATATCAAGATTTGAGGAGATGAAAATAAATATAAGAAAAGAAGTTACCAGAATAGTTGAGTTAAGCCTAACACTTGTACAATGAGTTGACTTCTCCTAAATATCTTCAAGTCCCACACTTATTAAGAGTTGGTCTCGTAAATAAAACTAATAATACAAAATAGATTGTTCATTGTACAAGAAAAAACCCTTAAAATAAAATTTCTCAATCTATATTTTTTTTTAAATAGAAAAAAGTTATAGCCTCAAAGTCACTCTCAACCTTACATGAAAGTATCCAATCCTGTTTATCGTCCGATACAACTCCTGTACAGAGTCATGATCATAGTCCATTGTCCACGTGTTTTGCATCGTTCTGCAGACTAGATTGCTACATGTAAATCCCATAAGATTCGCAGCTGCAGCTTCAAATGACGAGATAATGAAGTCTTGATTCATTAATTCTCATAAACGTGACAGATTTAGCTGCGTTAGGTCTTTTTAATTTGCCGGTTGCTTCAAACATTTTTTCTACAAAACTTCCTCGTAATATTTCTTTGAAGATGGTATGTTTGACTGAAAGCTTTCATTTCTAAACAATAAACTACTAACCTAAGTGTCTTCTATTTCACTTTCATGATTCCAATTGATTGAATCAAAGGACTCAACATGCTTGAAATTGATCTTGTATCTCACCATATCTGAGGCGTGAATTCATTTTATGAAATAATCTGGTAGCATCGTTAATTGAGTTGAACTTTGTTGTACATAAATTTCTTTACAATTTAAACGGCCATGTTTTTGATTGGAACTTAACTAGCATGCCCTCAACATGTTCGTGTTCGACCTATTGCCCTCCAGACGGATTCATCTTGCACTTTTCAACTATTATGTGTACAAATTTTATTCGGCTAAAGATGCACGCTAGTTTTGTATGGCTGTTTCAAACTATTGTTAATTTTTTTTTTCTCAAAAATGATATACTGTAAATATTGAAATTCAAAAAATCAAAATTATGAGAAGGTAAAGTAATATTTATTTTAGTACTTAATCCACATAATATCTCTTATGTTTCTTTAACCATGCTTTTTTCACTTAGGTGTTTTTCTTTAAAAATTTTACATGCTATGTGCAGGTGAATGATTTTCATCACCATGTAAGTTTTCGATGGGGTGGAACAGAAATAAAAGTGTGGCATGGAAAAGTTGAAGGCCTATCTGTTTACTTTGTGGAGCCTCAAAATGGGTAACATATTAACTTGTTCTTATAGTAGTCGTTTTGCTACACACGTCCCTTTTGGAGCCTCAAATGTCTTAACTATTTGATGCCGGTTTTATAAATTCTTCTTTTCTGTATAACTCGGTCAAGATTTGGATTCGGGCTCGGAAAACCATCTCACCTGTCCCTTAGGCCCTTTCTTGTTAATTCTAGACCCTAAGCTAACTCTGCTTAACCTAATTTAAAACATCAGAATTGATTTTATAATATCTTGGGCCAAAGTAGGCGTTATTTGCCACACTCTGTAGAAAAGAAAAAAATCATACCTTTTTCGCAATCTTATTTTGCTATTATGTAGTAAATCTGAGGAGAAATAGTCCATTGTGTTTTTTCTTGGGCAGCTTCTTCCAGTCTTCCTGTTAAATGTCGTATCTCTACATCTCATTTTGAACTTAGTTACCAGACCATGAATACATCCGGTTGTACAAGAGGTGATCAATCGTGGCCTGGCTTGATAAGGATTGGCCTTTTGGGTCAAACCAGAGGTCAGTCAAATGAAAAAATATATATTTTGATAACAAAATAAATATCTCTAGCATTTATTTTATATTATTATAATGTGCTTTTAGAGTCAAATTAAAAATTTATATTTAATTAATGTTATGTTATATTTTTTTAGGCCTTTCCTGTGACCTGGCTTAAAATCTTACCCAATCCTTACCTGGACATTATGTCACCCAATGATCATATTTAGATTCTAGGTATAGAGATTACAGTTTTCCTTTGATATGATTACCCTGTTTATGTACTTCTGACATTATTTGGTATCATTGTTTAGAGAGATTCACCATATTTAATTCCTGATGGTTCTCCTTTTGCAGAATGTTTGATGTTGGCTGTGTATATGGAAGAAACAATGATGGGGATAGATTCCAATTTTTTTGCCATGCTGCACTTGAATTCATTTTTCAAAATGGACTTCGTCCTGTAAGTTTTTTATTTTTTGAAAATATTATAGTTTGGATTTCTTTCCGTTAGTTAAAAGATACTATACCGAGGTTATGGAGATTAGGACAGTTACTGCAATGGCAATTTGAGCGCCTTTAACTATATTCTTGAACTACCATATTTGTCCAGTTAATAGTCTGTTTAAAATCTGTTGTAACCAGACGAGCTTGTTCATGCCCTCGTGCTATTTATTTTCCTCATAGACATGAAACTTGTCCTAGGTCAAAACAGTTTCTTGCATTTTATGTTTCTTGGATGTTAGGAGTAAGATGAAATATCTAATTTGATTGTTAAGAAGCTGAGTTCTCTAAGTTGCTCTTCTGTTTTTTGCCCATCCTTAACATGAACTACAATGCCTCTTGGTTCACTAAGTTCGCTTTCCATTGGCCGATTCCTTTTCCTGTTATCAATCACAATCTCTCATCAGGAGAGGATGAGGATTTGAATAAGGAACTTGGCTCGCTATGTTGCTATCTTTTGTTGTTGATTATTTAGCAGCATTGCAAGAGTAATATGTTTTTTTATTATTATTAGGAGGCCGACATTTACTGAATGCGTCAATTGGCATTAAATTTTCTTATTGCACTGAAACTTTCCGTAACAGATTTCTTTTCTGCAGGATATTCTGCATTGCCATGATTGGTCCAGCGCCCCAGTGGCGTGGTTATTTAAAGAACATTATAAACATAATGGGCTGGCTAGTGCTCGAGTTATTTTCACTATTCATAACCTTGAGTATGGGATACATCAGATTGGCAAAGCAATGATTTATACTGACAAGGCTACCACGGTTAGTACCTCCCCTTTTCTCCAAAATCTGGTACTCGGTGCATTTAGTTGTATCTCTAATGACATACAAATAACCCCTTCTTTTTAATGCACTGCTATTTAATCAAAATTATATGCAGTTATTTTCACCGAATCTGTAATTGGTCCATAGTTGTCAAAACCTTCAGTTATTGTCCTTAATGTTTCTAATGTTACTTCTTGATACAAATTTCCAATTGTATGTTTTTTATGTAGCAAAATATATTAACTATATAAGGATGTGAGAACACCAACGGAAGTTACAAAGAATTGTCATGAAAAAAGAAATATATAATTGCACGAAAAAATATATCAACAGGATTAAGAATGAAACATTGTATGGATTCAGAAATACAAAATATTCATTTGGATTGTTTAGTTTAAAGCCTAGTGGATATATGAGAGTGTTCTCTTATGGTTCCTTCCCCTTCTAGTATAAAGAATATAAAATTGCTTATTGAGCAAAGAGTAGATACTCTGAATGCTTCAATCAAACTAAAAAATCTACTGAGATATATAATCCTCGTTGTGTTCACGAGTAGGATGAAGTTGAGGTGCTTTAAGAACTTGAGTGCATGACCCGACCCGGAGGTTAACGTGGCGGGAGCAACTGGTCGGAGGGTTATTTAAATTTTATTGACTAAATTTTTTTAATTATAATCATTTCCAATATACTGAAATAGCAGCCAAGAACTCCAAATATGTTTTAATAAAAAATACCATAACTATTTTAATAAATACATTTCTCTCAGAGCATCGCGAATTTGCTATACGATCTCTCATCTTCAACTCATTTAACTTCTTTCAAAGAATAATACATATTGCGTGCCGGAACATTCATGGCCTTAGAGAGATATAGGGTTTAACATCCTAATTTTGTACGAAGATCCAACATGAACACAAATAAGAGAGAGGGGTGCAAGAGTTATAAGGGACACCAAGATTTTATACGAAAAACTGTAAAAAGGGGAAAAAACGAGGTCTAGCCCAGTTAAGATGATTCTGCTAGTATTTGTAGTCGATTACAAATGATGCCCTTCATTGAGGGAAGCCTTAGTTCAATGCAGCAAATATATATCATATAAAACACATTACATGATAGGAGTTCGAAGAATCTAGTGATATGAGAGTTTTTCTCAAAAGAATGTTGGCATGTTCTTTTGGTCAGTTAGGACCGTAGTAGGATGACAGAGGTCGTAGGGGCCGTAGTTGGGAGAATGAGATAGAGGGGACCGTTGTCGGGTGATAGAGGTCGGAGGGGACCGTAGTTGGCTGGCAATGGAGGTCGGAGGAACCTTAGTTGGTGGGCTACAGTATTGGAGTGTTTGTAGTTAACGCGCGACGGTGATCGAAGAGACCATAGTCGGCAGACATTGGTACTATGATGGTCGAAGAGACTGTAGTTGGCTGGCAATAGTGGTCGTAGGGATCATAGTTGGCGGGCGACGGTGGTAAGAGGGATCGTAGTTGGCGGGCGACGGTGGTAAGAGGGATCGTAGTCGTAGTTGGCGGGTGAAGGAGGTTGGAGGGACCGTAGTCAGCAGGTAACAAAGGTCGGAGGGACTGTAATCTGCTGGCGACAAAGGTCGAAGGGACCGTAGTTGGTGTGTGACGAAGTGGAGGGACCGTAGTCGGTAGGTGACGGTGGTCAGACAAAGGCCTAGCGATAGCTGCCTGACGTAGGTTTGACGAGGCCTTATTGATAGTAAATCTAAATTGAAAAAGACTCTATATATAAAAAAAATCCCAAATTTCAGAGTAAATTGTGGGGCTTAAATTAAAAAAAAAAAGAAAAAAATCTAATAAAAATTGTATTTAAATGAAAATTATCATCCACAAAATTTAAAGCAAATTGACTCACCTTCGGAAACCGCTTGTCGAAGGTGATAATAAATTTGAAAATAATCTCATCTCACAAAGAGCCAGTGTTTTGTTGATTGTATCACTATAATTTATTCTTAAATAATCTCTCGTCTATAAAGATGTGGTGCTTTACCTCTAATTGGTGGTTCTATCACCAAATGACATCACATGTAAATGATTATGAATGATCACTCCAATCGAATCATTTTGCCGTGAAATAACACCATTACATTATGATTACAACTGGAGCCTACAAGTTTCCCAATGGAGAAAAAACTCTTTTAAGCCCTTCTCTTGTAAAAATTTCTTTTGCAGATCTTGCTTTTCACTCTAGAAGATGCCTCACCTGCATCATGCCTTATACACATAACATGAACCAACATACTTGACTTAAAACTTCTTTTATAAGCATCTTCTTTTGACGATCTTTGTATTTTATGATATTTCAAATTAGCTTTTGGATTCATAGGCGAATTGAACTTGGTTTCAATTTTATATACATGTGCACATGCACAATTTTATCGCCCAAGTATTGGAACAGTCTTCAAAGAGGCCTTACTTTTTTAGTTGTACAACTTTAAAATTCTTCTTCTGTGTTTTTTTCTTTTTCTGCCCACTGTCATTTATTTTAATATTTTGTATTTGATACTTAGTAGTTGATCACAATGATCATTGATCTTTTACACAGGTATAACAAAGCATTTTTCTGTTTACTGCCAGTTATTTTTATATTTTGACTTTGAAACAAACTGGTTCATCTAAATGATTTTTGACCTTCTTTTACACAGGTATCATATACCTACTCAAAAGAAGTTTCGCAAAATCCAGTTATTTCTGCCCATCTTTACAAATTCCATGGCATTGTTAACGGCATTGATCCAGATCTCTGGGATCCATATAATGACAATTTTATCCCTGTATGTTTGGTTTTCCCCCCCCCTTAAAATTTCTATTTTCATATCCTGGTCATATTTATTCTAACATTAATGTCAGTTGGTGTTCCTTAATATACATGCACTTTCAAACTAAGCTAACTCTTTATAAGTAACATGTTTTATGATTACCTGGTTCAAATAGATTGAAGCTTTGCAGGATCCGACATGTTGAAGAATTAGTTGATAAGGTCAGATATTAGAATAGGATATTTAAAATATTTTTTTACACTATAGCATCAGAGAAAATGTCAGCAATCAATAAAAGTGTGATTTTTTACTTATATAGCCATGTTAGGCTGTGTTTGTTTTGGCCTCACTAGAACTACAACATGTGTTGATCCTGTAGGAGTTAATTAGAATTATTTATTGTCATATAAATATTAGAACACGTCAATTTTTTTGAGTAGAAATCTATGTTCATTATTATTGTAATATATCCTTATCATTAAGGATAATTTTTTGTTTTTGTTTTTTTAATTACTCTATTCGATTGTTTATATAGGTTTTCTATTCAATTTTTTATATAGGTACTCTTTTATCAACATATTATTTGATTCAATAAGAAGTAAAATTTTGCCTTTTTATCATGATATCAAAGGTTGGGTTAGAGGAAATTCATTATCTTCTCTAGGTTCGTGAATTCTAAATTTTTTTAGGTGATCTTAATCTCCAGTATAGATATGGATCTTCATCTCGCCGCTTCCTCTAGATTGTATTCGTCCCGCTATCTTTATTTTGCATATATTGTGAATTTGTTGATCGCTTGTCTTCGTCACTAACCACAAATCTTCCTCGTTGTTCTACAAGAGATCCTAGATTTGTGAATCTGCTTGCTTTATGCGAGCACTATCTGATTTATTTTTTTGTAGGAATTTCGTTGAGTATATTTTTTTTCCTTTCTAGTTTGATTTCTATTTATTATGTGATTTGCATCTCATTTTATTGTTATTTTGTTCATCGTGATTCGGGATAGAGATGATTCATTGTAATCCATTAGCGTTAGATTGGACAAAAAAATTATTCCTATTCTAGTTAAATGACGAAAAAAATTCTTGAATGGGAAGAAGGTGTGAGACTATATTTTGGTAATTCATTGTGAACCAATGAATTGAAAAGATGAAAATTTTTGAAGAAAAGTTGGATAATTTGGAAGTCTGTAACTTGAAGGTCATGACTTGGATCAACAATTCTTTTGAGACATCTATAGGCATACAATTGCCAAAGTATGAGACGGTCAAAGAGATTTAAGATCATTTACAACGCCTACATACATAGTCTAATTAACTCTAATAGATCCTGCTTAGTGGACCTGAATTGGATAGCTTTCTTGATTGCCTACTTCAAAATAAAAAGGATTTTCTTTGCAGTGCTCGATTAGTAGATGACTGGAAAGCCACTAGGCATGGAGGCACTTCAGAATAATGCTTTCATAGCAAATGGTGTTTATGCCTCACTCAACATGTGCGAACTTCAGTAGAATTTATGTTTCTTCCATAAAGCTAGGAAGGTTTGATTATTAGCAATATAGTTGAAATTTAATATCAGTATCAGAATATATTGAATGCTCAAAAGCTATGACCAGATAATGAATGTCTTTCAATTAATTTAGAGATCATATATCTTTTAAGAACAAAGAGCAATGATACATGAATAGGGGAATGGGATCAACTAGTTCAATGTCAAGGACTTCTAGAATTAGAAGATGAAATGTATGTGATGTGATACATTCAAAAATTGCACATGAAATTCATTAAGAATCACAAAGTTTACCAATGTAAGATTAAACTTTCGTTGGTTAAGATTCAAGAAATTTCCGTTAACGAAATGTTATGATAAGCGGTTACAAACTAGTGTTTAGACACAATTAATGAAGGGTCTCAAAAGGTACATAATAAAGCAAATGCGGAAAATAATAGAATCCCACGGCTAATGTCTAGAAAGTTCACAACGAGTACCTTGCTCACTCACACTCAAGTTGGGCTTAGCGGGAGAAGGCCTTTAGCAAACTTAACGATGCCACGAAGACGGTGGCCACACCAATGGCCTTTAGCCACGGAGAGGTTGATGGTGATGAGGATGGCGTGAATGCTTGACTGTCGATACTCCAATCGTAGATTGAAAATCGTCGGTCGATGATGCTCACAAGAATCTGGACGACTCGCTCCAAGTATTCTTCAACTGTGGCGTCGTCTTCAAATCCTACGTCAAAGCACGGAGATCGTAGGATATTAATGCTTCCGTCGGCATTGAACACTAATCCCCACTCAAACTCCGGATCCGCCATACATCCTTGATGTTGGAGAATCCTTCCAAGGAGAAGAGATTTAAGTGAGGGTGAGGGAGAATCCTTGCGTTGGAGTGTCAGCTGGTTTCCCAAGGGGCGGCGGCAATGGGGTTGAGGAGGGAATTCTTGTAGTGGAGGTGAAGAAAATGGAGGAAAATACGAACGCGGTGATCGAGAACTAACCACGAGCCGCGGACTCTTCCAACGACTGGTGGGCCTTGCGAATTGCTCCTCTTGAGCTCTCTTCCCTCTCAAGCACTCATGCTAGAAAAGTAGAAACAAAACATAACTTTTTCATTCAAAATTCATTAACCTCAATACAACTAGAAATGACCTATATATAGGTCCCAACACAAAAGAAAAATACAAAGACTATATTGCCCTCGGGGCTACAATCGTGACTCAGCTCATACTAAGGGTACAATAGGAAACTCCAAGAAATAAAAGAAAAATGCATAAAAGAAAATACATAAATAACTAGAAATATAAACTCTGAATCGTGGCCGTCGATCTGCGTTGTCTCCTGCGATACACATGCTTGAATCTCTGATCGATGTCCGCATCAGTATGGGTGGACTACAATTAATGTGATGGAATCCCTATCATAAATAAACCAGAAAACTTTAATAGTTAGCACATAATGGAATGATTTTTAATCATAAGATGACTGCAATTCACAGTGCAAGGCTGCCTTTATAAATAACATTAATTTAGTAGGTATTTATAATTTAATCTAATTGATAGATGTTATCATTATTAATTGGTTTTAAAATTAATGAATTAATGATTAATTATGATATTATTTTATAATAAATATAAAACATTTAGATTAATTTCTTTATTATTTTTAATAATAAGGCTAAGGAGCTTCTTAACATGTTTGTTCATAAGCTTTGTATCAAATATTAAGTGAGCTTCTTAATGAACTTTTTATTGAGCTTTAAATAATATTATTCATCTACATAAATGAGTCGAGCAAATGGATGTTCAAGCTTGTTTATTCAACAATCGGATATTTTTAGAACGGTTCAAGCTTGTTTGATTAGTTAACTAACGATCATGAATGAGCAACAATCAAGCCGAGGCACGAGTAGTTTATTGAACGCTTGGTTCATTTGCAGCTATAATTTATCCATTATATTTTATGTTTAGTAATTTTCTAACTAATTAGATGATGATATAGTTGTCCTTTAATGCAATGCAGGTGTCTTATACTTCAGAAAATGTTGTTGTGGGTAAGAATGCTGCCAAAGAGGCATTACAGCAAAGACTTGGCTTGAATAATTCTAATCATCCATTGATAGGAATAATCACTCGTTTAACAGTCCAGAAAGGAATTCACCTCATCAAACATGCTATTTGGCGAACACTGGAATGCAATGGGCAGGTTCTTCCCTCATGTTTTCCTTACTTGAAGTTAACTGTCTTTTTATCAAATCTGGTTAAGATTTCTCGTAAAGCCTTGTACTAACATTTGGAACTGAATAGTATATTGATTCTTTTGTATAACTCTCTTGTCTTTCCATATGAATGTGGCAGTTTCATTTAAGAATCTTCCGGACTTTGTTTCTTAGGTTGTTTTGCTGGGATCTGCTCCAGATCCTCGCATTCAAAATGATTTTATTAATTTGGCAAACCAATTGCACTCTTCACACTCTGGCCGTGTGCGACTTTGCTTGACCTATGATGAACCCCTTTCGCACTTGGTCTGGCTTCATTTGCAGTCTTGAACATTATTCACATTCTTAAAAACATTTTAATGACTTTCCTAATCTAATATATTGTGTTTTGTAGATTTATGCAGGTGCAGACTTCATTCTTGTCCCTTCCCTTTTTGAACCTTGTGGTTTAACTCAACTTGTAGCAATGAGATATGGTTCTATTCCAGTTGTTCGAAAAACAGGAGGTGAGTATTTCTAATATTCATTTCGGTCACCTAACCCTTACCATCCATCATCTAAAAACTTTCAAGCACTCGCAGAAATGGTGCGTTTATTGGCGCATGCTGAGAACACAGAATTTAGATGAATTTTTAATTATGCACTTTTTGTTAACCTCAGGCTTTCTTCATCTAGAAACTCCTACAGAAACAGGGATGATTGCATGCATGATAATACATCATTTTTTTTAAATATGTCTGCTCAATTGTAAAGTTTCATGCATTACATCTAAATCTTTGAAATTACCACAAAATTCTAGTGTTGCTTGAGCACTTTTCAATCTTATTTAGGCTTCGTTTGAGACAGTTTTTTTACTGCTGCTTAAAATAGCTTTTTAGTACAAAAAATTAAATTTTTATACTAAAAAGTTACTTTAGGAAGCAGTAAGAAAGTTGTCCCAAACAAAGCCTTAGTATTTTGCTTGGGTGGAAATTTAGACGTATAATGAACCTAGGGACTGTCCATATACGAACTTGGCTGTGAGGCATTTTAAAAGTGCAGGATTGGGATAGCAATTAGCCTTTGAAAGAATGAACACAGACGTCTTTTGGTGTTAAAATTTTTTCTATGCATGTCCCATAATAGAGGTTCTCTGACTTTTATTTTGAACTTTGAAATTTTGTGTAATTATGAACCTACTTCATAACTGAATTGAACTTTTGTTGCCCCCTGCTACGAAAAAATAAAAATCGCTCATTCATCTGTTATTTATTATTTCCAGTGCTGGCAAAAGACTAAACCGAATCTTTCTACGTTTTTAGGATTGTATGACACAGTTTTTGATGTTGATGATGATAAAGAGAGGGCTCAATCACTGGGTCTTGAACCAAATGGATTTAGCTTTGAGGGTACAAGTTCCAGTGGGGTTGATTACGCTCTTAATAGGTAAGTAATTATAGATTATTTTCCTTTTCATTTCTCCATATATTGGAATTCAATTTTGAAACTTACATGATGCTATGTTGCGTTCGTGTAAAACCTAACTAATCAAGAACTTTTTTTTTTATGTGACGCACCAATCTCGTGGCAGTTCTAAAATTCTAAATTTGAGCTAATTGGCATATATAAAATTGATTAAATTGGTGGTTCAACATGCTTGAATTGGCTTTCTCCACCTCTCAAACAACTCCGAAGGGTATAATGACGTTCGTGCATTTGACATGCTGAATTGGAGAAACATGTAATGATCATTGGGGTTAAGACCTAGGCAAGAAGTGGCTTCTGATGGATTTTTTAGATGACAAATTTTTAGGAGAAAATGGGTGCATGAATGAATCAAATCCCACATTTAAAGGGCATAAAAAATGCTTGGATATATGAGAAAAGAGTTGGACCAAATATGTAAGATGTCTTTTGATATAATGAATGGAGCTTCAATACGAAGTCTATTGATAAGTATGTTTACGATGGAGTATTTTTAGGATTACATCGAGGATTAAAGTTAAGGTTCAAGCTAATATTGGACAAATCGGGCCAAAGAAGACAAGATCTCACAAATATAGGTTGAGTCATTACAATGTATGTCTAGGTTGGGCCCAAATGGTTAGAATCAATACTAAGACTGGCTAAGTCAATCCTTGATTAAATTGGTCATCTTCCTCGCACATGTGAGGCCTACGAGGAGCAAGGGTGACCAATGAACTCTGGTTGCCACTTGATCAACAATACACTGGATCAACAATCAAGTGGTTCAACAGATTGTACCCTAGTCCTTCAAGTAAGAATCATGTCAGTTGCAAAACTTGTTTCTATGGCGCTCATTTGGGGGCCAAAAATAGACTAATCATTGTTTTCACTACCAACCTGACACAAGCTATTTATCTCCATTTGTTCCTTTTGAGATGAATAATTCCTAAATATTCTTCGTTAATATTATGTCAGGATCAGACCCGGTAAACTTGTGTGAACGAGGCGGGAACGGATGTTGGACGAAAAATTTGAAACATTTCAATGTAACATGATAGAGTAATTATCCAAAATTTAATAAAGAAAAGTCACTCATTTCCAAACAATATTTTCTTTCCATAGATAAACATGTACATAAAAGTCTGTTACAAAAATATATGTCCCTCTATCACATATCATCCTATGAGTCCATCTATTACAAAACATCAAACTAACAAAAAGAACTTGTCACGTCTCCCTACGAACGTAGGTGAATGATTGTCTATCAGTCATTACTGATTAGCGGGTCTTCCTGAAAACATCCCAAAACTAGGGAACGAGCTGACGCTCAGCAGGTATCATGTAACTCTACCAATTTCAAATTATAATGCAAAGAAGTTCAATATGCATGCTTTAATATGAAACTGAGTAACATATAACTAAAGAATTAAACAGTATAGTGTCATGTAAAGGTAGTCGTACACCTATATCTATATGACTTCCTATGATCATTTTACATTTCATATGTTTTCTGCTTCTTTAATTTCATGTTTTTCAACTTGTTTTTATTCAATGTATACATATAATTTATCTTATTCGTATCCTAAACACTCGTACCGAAGTACTGAAATTATACTGATCAGGTACACATACATATTTGTCATATCATTTTTCTTTATCATATTGCCCCGAAGAATCATATTGTGCCAAGACACCATATTGGTACTCCGCCTCAACATGTACAATTTCACATGCAATAACTATTATAAGATAGGTGACTAACATACATATCAATCATATGCTTCTAGCTATTATATTTTATGCAAGACTGCATGAAGATTCTTTTTGAATTAAAATGTGGAACTTTCTAAATACCATAAACAAGCCAATAATTATTAAACATAATAGTATGCTATTTTCATATAGAATAAAAAAATTAACATGCTATTCTAATACTAAAATATATCATAGTGCTAACTTTTAAAAGAGCATAAAAGAACATTAAACTTGAAAGTGTTAAATGTATCTACCTCAAAACAAGCAAACAAATCTCAAAATGCGTGTAAATTGTCTAACCTCACGGCGAACTCTTCTTATCACTTCCCTTTCCAAGACCTAAGGACAAAGACTATCATTAGCTCAAAAAGTTTGTATTCAACAGTGCACTCCCTTCATTTGATTCCCAATCTTTATAGGTTTTTAATTTATTTTGAATTTTCGGTTTTCTCTAAAAACCCCAAAATTGGAAACCCAAAATTCATTATTTTATTCCTATGAACGTGCAAAGACATCCCCTTAATCTAATTAGACTTTTATTTAATTAATTTTTTTGGATTTCTTTAATTCAAAAGTAGGAAAAATAAAGTTTCATACAAAATTTTAATTTTATCTCATTAGAACATTCTTAAGGTCACTAGGAATAAGATTTGTGAAGGTCACCTTAAAGAAATCAAATTTCGGAATTAAAAAAAAAACTACATTTTAAAACTTGAAAATTTTTCATGAAATTTTAGTTTAAACCCATAGGAATCTTTCTAATATAGATAGAAACCATTTTCGTGAAAACAATTTGAAATAAAATCGAAATCGGAGAAGACCCTAATTTTTATAAACCTAAAATTTTTTTAGGAAAAAACTAAATTTTCTTTGTTAGAATCCTTCCCCAAATTTTCCCTATCAATATCATTGAAAAATTCTGAGTTTTGAAGAAATCCTAGAATTTTCAACATAAGAATCTAAGTAAAAATGAAGAGATTTTTGATTTAGGAAGTCACCTTCTTCCTTAGGCTTTCCCCTTCAATTCCCTCCCAAAACTTCTGCCGAAAAACCAACTTCGTCGTCGCCCTAGCCTTAATTACTCCCTCCGCCCTCTCCCTCTCCCTCCTTCGGCCGAACAAAAGAATGAAGGGACCGAAAGAGCTTATTTGGGTGGTGGGGTAAGGGAAATGACGCATGTACCCTTACATGCAAAAAGTCTCTTAAGAATCGGGAAGGGCTATTTAGTCATTTGTCTTTAAGTAGACTGCCGATTTTTAATTTCAAATTTAAGCAAAATTAACCCTAAGTCCTTTATACCAAATTGCTCGAAATTTTATGTAGAATTTTATAAAAATTATTTCGCCGAGTTTCATCAACTTTGTAAATTCGCCTATTTTCGTCTCGGTGCGTCTCAACACTTCGTGACCCTATGGTTCGACATTTTTTTTGGTTTTACATATTATTTCGTGTTTTTCATTACATTTGAATGAGAGGGTAATTGTTATTTTAGATAATGGTTGAGCTTTCAGATGATGCGAGACCAATTGCATCACACACCTCTTAGGTAGGCTATATAACTAAGTTGTGCATAGGCAAGCACCTTGCTTTAAATTTCTAGGCAATGAGGCGAGCATTTTGTCTCAATTTGAGAGAGAAGTTTTCATATTTCTAGTGTCATAGATGAGTTAACTTTTGATGATGATTTGGTATAAGAAACTATAAATGGAGGATTAAGAGTTTGATAAATAATTATGCATTCTTGGAAAGTAGCACAAATGTATGTACGAGAGTTTTAAGTTTTTTATCAGTAAATTTCTAAAATGAAGAGGATGAGTTTAATGTGAAAGTAAAAATGTAGGCTACAAATTCAGTGATTGAGAAGACAATATGATGATAAGTATGAATAAATGATGATAAAGATTATATTATATGCGAGCAATATACACTACAGGAAAACACGTCGTTACCGGCGGACTGTATCCGCCGGTAACATGTGAAATCTGATGGAAATCCTCAGTTTCCGACGCATTTCCGTCGGATATGCCTCCGCCAGTTTGGCTCACGTCGCTAAATATTTACCGACGTTTATATGCCACCGGTAACAATTCTGGCGCACGTTCCGGCGCATTACCGACGCAAAATACGACATGGAAGACAGACGTCGATTTTCATTCCATAATTCTGGCGACTAATGCGTCGGTAGTTTACGCCGTATGGATCCGACGGAAACAACCAGCGCATAAGTCGCTGGAATGTCGCCGTAAATAAGCTACGGCTTATTTCCGGCGCGAAATTGGCGTCGGAATTCGCCGGCGGATAAAACGCCAGAATATGCGCTGGTAATTTCCGGCGCACCAAAAGACGCCGGCATGTTCGATCCAGTTCGTTGTATCGTCGTTTAGCATTGTCTCTAAGAGTAAAGACACTCATCCACGTACATGAGCATCCTCATCTCTGCAATACTTTTCTATCAATCACATAATAGGCCTGAAGTATTCCTCCACTATCACACAATAGACCTGAAGCATTGTCTCTAAGAGTAAAGACACTCATCCACTTGAGCATCCTCATCTCTACAATACTCAACTTAATTTTTTACTTCTCTTTTTACATCTCCATTTGAAATATGATCAATTTGTATCCTATCTAAAAGGGTCAAACCACTTATCCACCATGCTTTATCCTCATCTCTGCAACACTTAACTTAGCATTATGCTTCTATTTTTATGGCCAACATTTGGCACCATAAAGCATTGCAAGTCTCAACACCATCTTACAGAATTTTCACTTATGTTTGAGGGGGACTTTTCTATAACACAATAAGCCCGATGCATTCCTCCACTTCAACCATCAAACTTGAATTCTGCTGATAATATCCCCTTCAATTTCATCGTCACTCTGAACAATAGATCCAAGATATCTAAAATGTCTACTCTTATTATTGACTTGATCGCCAAAAATCACAATCTTATATTTAGGTCTAGTGCTACTAAAATTATACTCAATATATTTAATTTTAGATCTACTAAAGTGAAAACCTTTAGACTATAAAGTTGACCTCCATAATTCAAGTTCACCTTAAACTCCCTCTCTAATCTTATCAACAAGAAGAATATCAACAACAAAAATAATACATAAAGGTACATCCTCTTGCGAATGCCTATTGAGAATGTCCTAAATCCTAAAGCAAAAAGATATGGACTTAAGGCAGATCCTTGATGTAATCCACACAAAATAGAAAAATACTAGGTCAAACCACCTTGTGATTGAACACAAGTAATAGCTCATGCATATACCTTAAATGAAAAAAAAAAAAAAAACATATCCTATATCAAATTACATAAACCACAAAAAAAAAAAAAAAAAAACAGGAGGGAGGCGACGGGGAGGAGGAAACTCACGGTGAAAAAGGGCTTTCCCCAGCGACGAATGCGATGATCGTCGGCGACGTCCGGTGATCGGCAACACAAGTCGGCGACGTCGATCTACGGCGGCGAGCGGACTGAGGGCGATGAGGGAGAGAAAAAGTTTTGAGAGAAACGAACGAAAGAAATGAGCAGCCGTCAGGTTTGTGTTAGGAAATAAGGGTTTACACCGGCGGATTTTTTGGCGTCTAGGACGCCGGAAACATTTCCGGCGCAATATGCGTCAGTTTAAAGTCGTTGAGTTTAAATACGTCGGCGTTTTTTTCGTCGGTACTGCGCCGGTAAGTTTCCGCCGTAAAGTGCGCCAGAACAATAAATTAGTGTTATTTACCAGCGTCTTTTGCGGTGCAAAAGCCGTCGGTATTGTACCGACGACATTTGCGCCGTAAATAACACTGTCCTTCGCATTATGCGCCGCTGCAGGGGCCGTATTTTCCGTTGCAGCTTTGTCCACCAGTAATTTTCGCAGGTAAACGCGTGTTTTCCTGTAGTGTCTCGGCCACCACCTTCCCCTTCTCTCTATCGTCTGCTCCAATCCCCTCTCCATTACAAGTTTTCATTTCTCCTCCCCACAACCCCACCCCAACCACCGGCTAGCTCAACCTTGAACCCCACCTCCACCTAATCTTAACCTAGATCCTAGCCACCGACCTCCTCTAGCCTTGTTTACAAAATTTTTCTTAGCCTTTACTCCTTTCCTAATATAGATTGTGTTAGATTTGGAAGGATTATTAATCCAAGTTTGAAATCAAATTCAAATTTGAAATATTTCCTAATTTAGTATAAGCTATATTTGAAAAGTGTTCAGTTCTTTAATCAATCTCTTATTAGAATTAAATTAAAAACACATTGTTAAATCACATCTTTAATTTAATTGATTTTATTTAGTAAACATTTTTGAATTATTTTCTCTCCAATTCTCTCCTTAAAACTGTGGGCCCCCCTCTTCATGCACAAGTTTGAAATTTCAAATTCAAAAAAACCTCTTCATTATCTTCGTAAATTAATCTTTTGTTAAATTGAAAAGTTTCTAATTTGAATCCAAATTAATTTGAATTTCAAGTTCCTTTCCTAATCAATAGATCTAATTTAGGAAGCCACTCCAATCCCTTCCAAATCTGAAATTAATTTCAGATTTAATTACTCCATCACATTTAATGCTATGGTCCACATATATTGAATGTGGACATCTTTCCTCCCTCCTCCTTTCGCCGCCCCCTCCCCTTGTTGACCTCGATTTTGCCCAGACATGGGCATGATAGGTTGAGTTGACCAAGTCAACCTTTGACTTGGTCAACCCAAGTCTTAATGGGTCAAAATTGACCCATTAAGCCCCTTTTGAGTCCAAAACAAATTCAAACTCTTTCATGGCTCAATCCCTCATCCCCATGGATCCCCTTGACTGGTTTGACCAAGTCAAACGTGGACTTGGTCAACCATGGCTCTAAATGGGCCTTAATCACTCATTTAATGAAAATTAAAGGCCCATTCAATGCTCTAATCAAAGCCTCCCCTTGATTTCAAATTGAAACCACGGCCTAAACCGACCTATTTCCCTCCTAATTTGGTTTTGATTCGATCCTAGCCGTTGGTATTAGGTTTAGGAGCCTTAAATAGCAAAAATCTTGTCCAAATTAGGATCTTTTTCGAAATACTCGCGTTCTAGGCTTCCTCTCGCTCTGAGATTTCTTGTGAGGACTCCTAGAGACTTCCATCTTCATCCCCAATCAAATCCCGACGGTCAAAGCTCGCCGGCGGCGAGATTCCGGCGACTCGGAGGCTTGAACGTTTGGAGTTTCGATCCAGTCGATCTGTAGCTCGTTTGATCGAGGATTCAAGAAGGAAAACTTACGAGGACAGTCTACAAGCTCAACCGTGTCGAGAACTCGAAGATTGGACGGTAAAATCTCGCGCAATCCCTTAGAATAGCTTAAACACTTAGATTAAAATAGATCTTTGTAGAGTTAATCATTTCTTAAAATAATAGTCCCCCATAATTTCTGTTCATGCCTAGATTCTAGGTTTAAAATTTCGGCGAATTCCATCGAGTATCGAGGGAGAACGAGGCGAATCTTGTTTTAGGGTTTCGGTCGGGTTCAGGTATACGCAGGACGGACTCAGGCCGTCGGATCCGCGATCGACGGGTTAGATCCCGTCGCACGGCCCTTCGCGTCCATCCCGCGGTCTGATCTGCCGTCGGATTGAGCCGTCCGGCTTGATCTGGGCCGTCCATCTCATATGGCGGAAGATCGGACGGCCCACGCCTCTGTCCGACGTGTTTAAGTGACGTCCTGTCACTTGACCGCCGCCGCAATCATCGGACAATGATTGGCGGCGGCGCCAATCATTGCCTGAACCGCGGCAACCAATCCGCGCCCGCCACGTAAGCCCTAGCCGCCGGATTAGGGTTTTAATTAGGTTTTAATTATTTTTAAGTGTATTTTAATTAACAGAACTTCCAAAAATCACTAAAAATTCATTTTTGCTCCGATTTTGACGTATAATACCTCGTTTTGCTCGTATTTTCATTCTCTACACTAGGAAATTTTTTTTTATAAAAATAATGTGTATATTTTTAATTATTATTAAAACAGTAAAAAGTGATATTTTAAAATTATTATTTTTGCTATTATAATTAATTAAATTATCTAAATATCATTAATAATTAAAATATTGCTATTATTATATAGTTTAGATTATTTTGAGTTTCATAAGTATTAAAATATTATTTTACTCTATTTTTTTCTTTATAATTATTAATAAATATTATTTATCTTAAGTTATTTTTTTTTAAACCTATTTATTGTACGCAAACTTGCAAAATGCATAACTTCTTCGTTTTAAGCCCGATTTTAACGCACAACGTCTTGTTTTGAACGTATTTGGATTCTGCATTTACTGGAACTAGTTTTAATTGAAAATTTTTGGCCTGTCTGCAGTTATTTTCCAAAACAGTAAACAGCATTATTTTAAACTATTCAATTATTTTCTTTAAACTTAGAAATTGCATAACTTTGTCATTTTAAGTCCGCTGTCGACGCACAGCACCTTGTTCTGGATGTTTTATGAAGTCTGCATATTTTGAAATTATTTTCAGATAAAAAGCATGTCTGTATTTTCTGTTATTTTAAAACCAGTGAAATAGGGCTATTTTAAAATAATATTTTTATTATGTTTTAACTTCGGAAATTCGTATCTTCGCCGTTTTAAGTCGGATTTTGACGTGTAACCCCTCGTTCTTTTCAGAAGAGCGAGCTTTATGTTTTGAAACTGTTTCCAGCCCCTGATTTTGGCTGTTTTGATAGTTTTCTATCTTGGAGCAATATTTGATTATTAAATTATTATTTAATTAATATAATAATTATTTTCAGGATACAAACCTATTTTCAAACCGTTTGAAACCTCGATTGGGTGATCAGCGGGTCTCCTTATACCTATGTATTATGAATTGACTTACTTTTAAATTATTTTATTTTTCAAAAATATATATTTATATTTTCTCTCGTGATAATCATTATTTTATATTATTTAGTAGCATTCATTAATATTAAAAGGTATGCATAACTTAGAGAACTTTTTTATTACCTCACTTTGCTAAGCCAGAAAATGGCAAGTATAAGCTATGATGCACAGACATAGACATGGCGACACGGACATGGGACACGGGTTAGACACGTTATTATATTTTTTTATATTTTAAAAAAAGTTTATAATTTTGTATAATATTTTATAATATTTACAAATAATAAGTCATTTAACTAGAATTTATCTTTAAAATGATTAATATTAGGATGTTGAGAGTCGGGCGTCGATGTTGGGTATCAGACATCAAGAAAGGAGACGACAATGCATGCTATCAAGGGTTGGGCATTGATGTCATGCAGTAAGTATTGGATGACGATGTAAAGAGCGCGTTTGTCGTCGATGTTGAGAGGGCATTGGTCGTTAATGTTGAACGATTTTGGACAAAGATGAGCTGTCAAGATGTGTGTGTAGAAATTTGCAGCGTTGAGCATCAATTTCAAGACAGTGTCAGACTTTGATTTTAAGATGATTTTGAAATGTCAATGTTGTAACAATGTTAGATGTTAATATTGAGATGACATCAGACATTGTTGTGAAACCAAAGTCCTGACCCGCCAAAGAGAAATGAAAATGAGAATATTCGGTGAATAATGTATTAAGTGCGAGTAATTTATTTGGTGTTGTGGATATAAAATAAAAAAAATATAGTTTTATATTTTAAATACAAAAAAATTATATTAAAAAAATCATAAAATATTTAAGACACTCATGTCCAATTTATATTTAATATTTTTAATCAGACACATTTTCGGCTTGTCTGACACATGTCAAAGGCGTGCCCGACATGTGTCGGAGGCATGCCGGACGTGTGTCATGTTGGATACATATCGAACACTATACTCTTCTTTGAGGAGAAGTATCGGCGCATCATAGAGTTTAAACCTTAAGCAATGCTTAGTCATTTGATTGTTGATGAAGATAAGTTGATCAGGTAATCTAACGTAATAGGTTTCAAGCTCATCTTGATACATATATATTTTTAAATGTTTAATAATGAATGAATAGTGTCTTTCCTATTTCTGTCACCTTTCAGAGCAATATCAGCTTGGTATCATAGCCGTGAATGGTTCAACCTCCTTTGCAAGCGAGTTATGGAGCAAGACTGGTCCTGGAATCGCCCAGCTTTGGATTATATAGAACTGTACTATGCAGCTCGCAAATAAGATTTTCTTCAATACCTTGCAATAAGGTAAAGCCATGCACGTTCTATTTCTATTTGGCTGATATTTATGTACAGATTTCGTTTTACTACTTGTCGTCCTTTTTTCACTTCTCTATATGTTTTTTGGTTTAGGCATAATCAGCGGTGTAAGTAAGTTCTCATAAGCTGCGTTCGTAAGAACTTTACCATATAAGATAGTTGATTTGTTGAGAACCTAAAATCAGTCAGTTTTTGCTCAAGTAGCATCCTAGTGCTATGATTGTGGCTTGGTTTGTCGCTATACAGTTTAAGCGTTTTCTTTTTTTCTTCTTCTTCTTTTTTTTTCCCTGAGGTTTTTTTGTTTAGGATAGTTTTCTTACTTCTTTTTAAAACAACTTTTTTATAGAAAATTAAAATTATTTTACTAAAAAAGTGTTTTAAGGAGTAGTAAGAAACTAAGGCTTCGTTTGGGACAGTTTTCTTGTTGCTTCTTAAAGCAGCTTTCTAATACAAATATTTTAATTATCATACTAAAAAGTTGCTTTGAGAAGCATTAAGTAAGCCATCCCAAACGAGACCTAAGCCTAAGTATCTAAAGTTGATTGTTGAACATAATGAAGAAAAAAGATTTGAATAATGGACTCCACATAATATGAAAAAACTTAGGCTTTGTTTGAGACATTTTTTTTTAGTGCTTTATTTTTCAGATTATAATTATAATTTTCGTTTGGCTAATATTTTTTCGTTGCTTAAAAAAAAAAAGTACTAAAAATTTTTTGCAATAGCTTTAAATTGTTATTTTTATCTGCAATAGTTTATAAGCAATAAAAAAGATGTTCCAAATAAAGCTTAGATGGTGTTGTTGTACGTATGCAAGTATTTGAAATTGATTGATATTGGGCTTCTATTTTCTTACTTGAAACTTTTTTTTTTTTTTGGTGAAGCTAATTATTATTTTGGGGGATTATAATGAGTTTTTATAACAGGAAGATTATTTTCTAATTTATTTATTAGTTAATATTTAGGTAGCTTAATTTATTTTCGTAACTGTTATTAGTTCTTATTTACTCTAAATAGACTTTGTTTATTATCAAATTATTTATCTTTTATTATTATATAAGAAATAAATTTGAAGGTAAATTTAATATTTATCATTAAAATACATGTACGTCCATGTAGAAGTTTACTTCATTTATTTTTTTTAATAAATATTTAACTTAAATTATAGTGAATCAAACTCGGACACTCCATCTTCAACCTTTATTATATTATAGCCTCTCTCTCTCTCATACTTTTTTACTTTTTATAGCAAATCAACCTCTTAATGTGACACTTTTCAAACATTATCATAGCTTATAATCTCTCTCTCTCTAAGTGGTCATCAATTTTGCTTTTGTTAGGGCAGCTTTTGATTATTATTATTTAAAAAAAAATCATATAAGTTGATTTAAAAAGCAGTAAGAAAATAATAATAATGATTGATTCAAGTTGGTCATTTAATTTAGAGGCCAATTGATCATTTCTTCTCTCACGCTATCCTCACCAAGCCTCATTATCATTGCTCCATGCCAACCACAACTTTTCTTCCTCATCAAGAAGAACCTAAAGCCTAACATCTCACAAATCTAGATTTTCCCTTAATAAACCATTAAATGGCCTAATCAAATCAAGCTCTTACATGCAATCATCATCAATTATGGACATGTGGGCCTTGCTTCTCTCAATTATTAGAGGAAATGCTTTTTTACCAAATTGTTTTGATATTTTAATGAGTTTAAAAGTTGATCATAATTAAAATAATATTTATATAAAATATGAGATTGATTTCTTGAATTATTTAAGGCTTAAAACTATTTTAAAAAATTATCAATTCTAAATTTTAATGAATTAATATCTTATGATGAATTTATTATTTGGTAATAAATGCTTGTCACAACCACTTCTCTAATTTTTTTGATGGTTGAAGCTTACCCTTAATGCCTTGCATAATAGATTTAGTTGGTGATGCAAGCCTATATCTTTGCTTGGTTGAAGCTTACCCTTAATCCCTATAAGTACATTGTGGTCATATTTTGATATCAGCACATCCAACCATTTCAATCAATATATCTATAGTTTGCGACAATCTTGAATCATATATATTTGATTGGATGTTGGTGACAATTTATTGTTTGATGGAATTTATCAATCAATTTCAAAACTTTAGATTTGATTGATTAATATCATAAAATTGACTGAGGGATTTTGGATTTTTGTAGACTTGCAAAATAGAAAATCATATTACTTTTAAGTGGATAATGGTGTGTTCTTGAGCAGGGTCGAACCCCATCAGGGGGTGTTGCCTCCTTTGACTCTCGGCATATTTGCGAAGCGAACAATAATCAAGGATATGAACAAATAGGGGTTGAGATAAATTTTACATTTTTAAGTTTGCTGGTTCTCGCCCTGAACAAAGGCTGGTTCTACCATTATTCTTGAGCATATTCAAACACGGGTGGAATATGCATGAATTCAAAATCAAGCAAGTTGAAGATGAATAGCTCGTTCAAGTTTGGCTAATTTTGATCTTATTTACACAGAAGAAGATGAGGACGCCTCTATACAAGATTAGTTAGTGTAATTAAAAGTTAGTGAATGTTTTTGGCCTTCTCCTTATTGTTAGGATATAAAGTACGAAAAATAGATGTTAGAAGCAATTAAAAGTTAGTGTAATTTCAAGCACCTTTAATTCAAACTTCATCTTTCTTATAATCACAACACTTGTGATGCTAAGGTTGTCTTTTTCACAGATGATATTTATGATCGCAGAGATTTATTTGTAGAATTTGATTATTGAAGATGTTATTAATTATATTTACAATTAAGAATATTTATTTTTCAAATTTAACTAAAAACGATTAATATTTTTCAGTTAGTAGTCTTAATTATTCAAAGTTTTGCTAAGGATATTATTTTTTATTACAATTTTAAAAAATATGACAAATTTAATATTCAATTTCATTAAAAAAAACTTTGCTGCTATAGCCCAAATTTATGATATGTACTTATTTGAGTAAGCTTCAATCACCAAAAAACTTAAAAAACAAAGCTGAGAAATAATTTTTGTAGGTGGCCATATTACCTATTTTGTAAGCAAAAATTATTATCAAATGTTCCCATTTTGAATAAAGTGGTCCATTTTTTGGCACATATTTAAAGTAAATGTAACTGTGCATTTATTTATTTTTAGGTGTAATAGTACACTTTATACTATTCAAGCTTACTTAGCAGCAGGTCCAGAAGGAGAAAAGGATTGCATATTTGCATGAAAGCAGCTTTTCACGTACACTTTTTTTTTTTTATTTTTGGGGTAAATTGAGGGCTTAGCCCTTTCTATTAAAAAGAAAATGGATTACAAAATTGCTTGCCAAAGAAAAAACAATGCAAGCAGCAAGATATGTAAAAGAAAAAATTACACAAGATTAAAACAAGGAAAGAAAACCCAAAAACAGACAGAAATTCTGTCTGACCGGGACCCAGAATAGAGTTTAAATCATAATACGATCATTCTCCTTTGGTTGCCCGTAGACCATCCAAAAGGAGAGGCAGGAATCATCATCGTCCATGGCCAAAAAAAAAAGCCTGCCAGAGAATAAGGCACCCCCGATCGACAACGAAGCAGCAGCAGCTTGATGGAATTGGGCAGCAAGCAGAATCGCCACCAGCAAAAACCATACAGAATATGAGAATCATGCCAAAACCAATTCCTACCAGCATCGAATTGGCACATTCAGACGAATTCGGATCACAATGACAACATGACCTAGCAAAAGCAGATAGAATCAAATTCTGGGAAGCCAAAAAAACCATCCCAAAAATGGTAGTAAACTGCCCAATAGCCTTAAAAAGCATAACAACCCAGAAAATACCGCCCCAGTATGATAGAAGGTAAGACCAGTTATAACAGTAACCAAGAACTTCACAGCCCAGCAACCCTCCAGGCCAATAAAGCAAGCAGTGTCATAATACAAAAATACCCAGCATCAAATCTAGTTGTAAGAAATCAGAAGTTTCTCTCTGATCATCTTCCCCCTTTCCAACTATCCAGCTTCAAGTAAGCTACTCTAGAAATTTTTTTAACTAAAGAGGCAGCACAAGAGAAAGTCCCTTTATGTAATCTAGCATTGCTCTCAGACCAAAGAAAGTAAACAACAATGTTGAAAAGCAACAGAACACCAGACTTAATGTTCCTATTCAAATCCAGACCATCAATAAACTGAAGTGCTTGGCCCATGTTCGATCTGAAAAGGAAGCAATTCAACTTAGAAATAAGCATAGTAGTTACTTGAAATGAGTAGTCACATTCAAACATGAGGTGAGCAGTTGTTTCTGGGTATTGTTGACACAAGGGGCATAAAAATTCCTCAGTGATAACATTCCTAATGCGCAAAGCTTTAGATGTCTTGAGGCCATTAGAGAGGGCCAACCAGGAATAAGCCGAGTGTCTCAGGGAGTGTTTTTTGTGCCAGACAAGAGGGGCCCAATCAACTTCATAATCTAAGCAGAAGAATTCCCTATAGAAATCCTTAAAAGAGGTGTTTTCATTGTTTTCCCACGTAATGTGATTGGTGCCACCAGAAGAAATGGGAATAGAGGTAAAAAACTCCTTAATATGGTGGTTAAGGAAGTTGGGAAGAAACCAATAATCATCAGACATCCAAGAAGCGAGAGTGAGAGACTCAGCATTGACAGTAGAGAGAGGGAAGTCTGGGAATGAATCCAGAAATGAACCATTTGGACACCAATGATCCCAGAAAGTAGCGATAGTGCTATTAGCCAAAACATTAAATTTAAAATTATGTTTAAACCAGCTAGCAGTAGATTGAATACTCTTCCATAAGCCTGAGCAATGACGGGTAGAGGATTTCCAAGGAGAATTGTATCTGTTTTTGAGCAATTTGGAAAGGTGAGAATCCTGGTTATACATCCTGAGAATAGTCGCATAATTATAAGCTGATCGAAGAGCTTGAAGAGAGGCAATGCCAAGACCACCATTGGAGTGAGGCATAGTAGTGTGTTTCCAAGAGACGAGATGTAGACGTTTTGATTGATCACCCCTCTAATAAAGAAACTTGGAACATACTTTATCAATGGCCTTAACAATAGATTTAGGAATGATGGAACCTCTCACCCAATAAGCCACAAGATTGGTAATGGTATATTTGATGAATTGAAGTCTACCTGCAAAAGAAAGAAGCTTTACTTTCCAATCAGAAAGTAGGTTAGTAATTTTTTCAAT